CACAGCGGAGAGAAGGAGGGCACTGCCCTGAGACGATCCGTACCCAGCAAAAGAAGGCTCAGGGACTCACGAGGCTCGGAGTGCAGGGTGGACCGAGGGCGGCGGTGCTGAGTACCTCGCAACTGAGTTCAAATGGTGATGTTTAAGGGTGCTAGAGCTCAGCTCTGGGAGCATCACCAGGGACCTCCTGGGTATGCACGGATGAAGGATTGCCTGTTACCCACACAGTAAAAATGTCGAGGCCTGAGATCTGGGCCCAAGCAACACAGTGTCCAGTGAGGGCATTGCTGTGCTGGCACAAAGAACAACACCCTGAGACCCAGTGCTGCCAGCAGGGCAGTGGGGACACAACCTCTGCCAAGGCAACTGTGACATCTCAGTCTCGGGCACGTTTCTACCAGCACCGGGGAGGACACGGGGCCTGCCAGGACCCACCTCCCTGCTCCCCTCAGCACAGCCTGCTGGTGGTTGTAGGAGGACACAGCAGCCAAAGCTAACCCAAAGCTTCCATGTCACCACTGTCGCTCATTCTCAAAGCCCTCAGCCAGCCACGGTCTCCCATCTTAGTCTCACAGACAGACAGACAAGACACAGCCTGGGAGAAAGAATTCCAAAGGGTGGCAAGAAGAAGACAGATCCTACAGGACAGAGGAGAGGAACTCGGGAAGTGAATGGCGCTAGCAAGTGGCCAGAGAACAGGGCTGTGACTACGTTGGTCTCACTGCGGTGACCAGGAAAATACAATGAAATCCAGCACCCAGAGTGACGGTGTTGCTAGAGTTACAGCACATGCTTAGTGGCGCTGGCTCTGGGTCTGATCCCAACACTGAAGCAGTACAATTTCCGTGTGTCAGGTTAGCGAACATGAGAAAGTCCACAACACCACTTCCTGTCAAGGACGCAAAGCTGTGAGAAATGTCACCAAGACAGGGTGGGCAGAGGTTGGCACTGGGCTCTGGGAGGGGTGGGCGAGAGGCTGAGGGCTGAGACTGCTGAGCCAGGCATAAGGGAAGTGCAGACAATTTCAGAAAGCCCGGCAAAGTGCAAGTTAGTCATCAGTACCACGGATACACAGCAGCTATGCGGACAGACTGACTCTAGAGCCACAGATGAGGAAGCCAGAAACAGAACGTAACTAAAAACTATGTGCAGAATATTTATTAGTAAGGTGCCTTTTATACAAACTTAAAAACACACAAACTTAAATGGAAATAAGTGTATCCGTGTCCTTAGTGTACAGAATAAAAGCATAGAAATATGAAGATAAAACTCTGGGCGTGGTGGTGCACACCTGAATTCCAAGCACACAGGAAGCTGAGGCAGGACAATCGCAAGTTTGAGGTTAATCTGGGTCCACAGTCAGACTGAACTGTATGAGACTGTATCTCAAAAAAAAAAAAAAAAAGAGAGAGAGAACGCATGACAGCAGAGGAAAGACACAAGCCTCAGGACAGTGATTATCGATTATTTTGAACTGAAGGAAGAGAGCATGATTGCAGAAAAACAACTAAGTCTCTAACAGTTTTGTAGTGTAAGGGTTGCAGCTCATCAGATTGAACAGTATTGTACAGTGCATCAGGACAGTGTTTCTGGGTATCTGCTTATCTACGTTCCTCCATATCAGAAATGGATACAATTTTTTTTTTTTGTCTTTTTCTTTTTTATCGGTACCGGGGATTGAACTCACGACTGTCTGCTTGCAAGGCAGGTGCTTATGCCGCTGAGCTAAATCCCCAGCCCCAATGGATACAATTTTTAAAGTATTATATTTAAAATAAAGTGGGGTAGATGAGACTACACAAGGAAAGTGAGTAGAGAAACAAAGGAGACAACAGAATTAGAGGCACAGTGAGCAAAGTGCTTGAAAAGCATCTCTTACAACAGACACGGAAGCTGGGCGTGGGGGCGCACACCTGCGATCCCAGCCTTGTGGGAGGATGAGGCAGGAGGACTGCTAACTTGGGCTCAGCCTCGGCAACTTAGAAATTTAGACCCTGTCTCCAAATAAAAAATAATCAGAGCTGGGCATGTAGCTCAGTGAGAAAGCCACAGGTTCAAGCCCTGGTACTACGAAATAAATAAAAGCAGACACAGAAAGAGATGGAGGAAATAACTGCATAAGGGGCTGGGGATTTAGCTCAGCAGCATAAGTACCTGCCTTGCAAGCAGGCAGGTCGTGAGTTTGATCCCCGGTACCGATAAAAAAAAATGAAATAACTGCATATTCATGCAGGGAATAGAATTTGTGATTTTAAAACTCCACCCTAAGAAAACTATAGATATCTAAACCACTACTGATAAATGTTATCAAACAAGTAAGGAAGGAAATAATAATAAAACACACGGCTATCAAAACATGGGAAGGAGAAAATGCTTTTCAGCTTGCTTTACAAAGCCAGAACAATGCTAGCCCCCAAAGCAGACAAGGATATTATAAGAAAGGAAGGTGACAGCTCAGTGGCTCTCAGTCACAAGGGATTCACACACCGAATACAGAGATGTATACTTCTTTAATTATGAAAAAATGGAATTCGCCCAGGAATACAAAGTTGTTTTAATAGTTAGAAAAACAACAACATAAACTATCACCTTAACAGATTAAAGGGGGAAAATCACGTCCCATCTCAATAGATACAGAGAAAACATTTGACAAAATAAAATCACCCACTCATGATAAAAATTCTCAGCATGCCAGGAAAAAAGAAGTTTCTTAAGCAGATAAAGAGTATGCAAAAATGGCAGAGCATGGTGGCGCTTGCTTGTAATCCTAGCACTTAGGAGGCTGAAGCAGGAGGAACCCAGCATGTTCAAGGCCAGCCTGGGCTTCATAGTGAGTGCAAGGACAGCCTGAGTCACAGAGTGAGACTCTGCCTCAAATAAACCGATGCAAAGATGAAATGGAAAGAAAAGAAAAATAGAACTTGTGGAGGAAATGGAAGAAACTAGGATGCAAGACTGGTGCAGAGCGCCCTCTGGAGGGAGGGCAATGCAGTGCCGCCTGCTGCCAGGTCTCAAGGAAATGAGGACAGCTGTGGAGGTGGCCTGGCTACTTGCTCATTTCGAGTGCCTGAAAATCAGACTGCACTCGGGAACAGCCACTCAGGGCCCCAGGGAAAGGCCGCGCTGGTTGCACTTCCCTGAGCCCCTGCCTGCTACCCTGGACGCCAATACTTCCGTTTAACAGAGCAGAAGGCCCCAGGCGTAGGACGAAGCTGGGCCTGGGCCATTCATCCACTGAACACTGATGCCTGGCAGTGGCAGATCTAGGGCTCTATCCACCCCTTGGGGCCAGGCCAGGCTTAAAAATGCCCAAAAAGAGCCGAGATTCCTCTCTCCTTCCCTGTCACTTCCAACAGCCAGATGAGCTGTCCCCAAGTGTGCCGCTTCTTCTTGGAATCTGAATGTCTTTCACATAACTAGGCAGATTGGTCAGACCTGCATCTCAAGGTCCCCCAAAGACAGCTCGCCCTCCTGAACAGAGCAAGTAAGGTAAGGAACAAAAGGGACCTCCCTGCTACCTGCTGTCATGGGGACCGAGGCCGCTTAAACCAAAGGAGCCCAGGCAGTGCCCAAGGACACAGCAGAGGGCAGGCGAGGCTGGGTTCTACCACCCCTGGACAGCCTTGTGCAAGCTTTGGGTGGGCAGAGCAGGGCTGGAACACTTTCCTGAGCAGCATGGGGAAAATCTTATCGGTATAAATAATCATTGCAGCTATGATTAGTACGGGACCCCTGTGTCTCACTATCCCTTGCCACAAGGCCAGGAGGGACGGATTACTGTTATTCTCCTCCTCTTTCCTTCCACCCTCCCTTTTTCCCTCCCTCCCTCCCCAGGCCATCACTCAACCTCTGAGCTACAGCCCAATTCTCCGCTCCAGCCCGAGCTTGGGCTTCAGCCCTGGTAGGAAGCATCTGTGTCTCCTGATATCAACTGCCTGCAAGAGTCCAGCGCCCCACTCCCCTGGAGCTGCACCCTGAGCATCCTCTGGAGTAATTCCTTCCAACCCACTTCCAAAAGTTCTGAGTCCCATTTCACCCAGCTCCTACTCCTATCATATAATCTAGCTGAAGAAGTCATGACAAAAGGTACATTTATCTTTCTGAAAAAAGTTCTTTTTTTCCAGGACAGACCTCTGCCCAAGCCCCTGGTGAGTGTCACTTGTGCTCCCCATCACACGCTCCCTCTTCAGGGATGCCTTTCCCAGCCCTCCATGGCTTTTACTTCCAAAACAGTTTTTCTTATAAAATTTTATTTTCCCCATGATAAGATTCTTGCCCAGCAGAGACTTTGGCAAACACCAGGAGGTCAAAGCCTCTGTTGTGCCACTTGCTACTTACCAGGGCCCCACAGCTGGCATCTGAAACATCACCTGAGTTACAGGCTTGGTCCCAGAGTGGTGGCTGTTTAACAGGGGCCTGCTGGGAGGGCTTCAGGTCTCTGCCTTGAAGAGGACAGCAGGTCCCCTTCCCCTCCCAGCCTGAGGAAAGCAGTTCTGCTCCCATGCGCTCCCTGCCAGTGCCGTCTAGAGCCCCGCCAGAGACCAGCGAGCAATGGTCCACCTGACCATGGACTGAGAGCCCCAAAACTGTGACCCAAAGTGCAGTTCTTCTCTCCACATGCTGGTCATCTTGGGTGTGTCATGGAGGTGGGCAGTGAACCATCTCTGCATGTTTGGCTTTGTGCCCTGCATGATGACTGTACTGACTGATGGACGAGCTTCTCCCAGAAGAGATTAGTGTCACCCCCGTTTGTTATCTGCCTTCCTCCGCCCCCACCTCATCCCATCCCCAGCTAACACCCAACAGGGACACACACACACACACACACAGAGTAATCTAGGGGTTTAGAGGAGTAAATCTAGGGGTTTAGGAGTTAGGACACTCTACAGCACCTCATGACCATCCTCTGAGTCATTCTAATCCGAACTGAAGCTGGCTTTCTTCTTTTGTCCCGAACACACACTGGGACAGTCCCGTCCTGAGGCAGGCCGCATCCTTACCTGCATGCCTCTCATCTTCTGGAACCGAGCGATGGTGTCGCTGATGGTGTAGACACGCACATGGCCCATGTGCAGCTTGCCCGAGGGGTAGGGGAACATGGAGAGCAGGTAAAACTTGGGCTTTGATTTCTAGGAAAGAACGACAGTGGGTCTTCATCAAACACATTCTAGGAACTCCGTGTGTACTAATGTCTCCTACTTTACTCAAGGTATCAATGTAGCATTTTAAGTTTCCTTTCCAGGGCCTGGAATGGAGCCTAGTGACATAGCGCCTGCCTGGCAAGTGCAAGGCCCTGAGTTCAATTCCCAATACCAAAAAAAAAAAAAAAAAATCACACAAAGTTTCCTTTTCAAAAACCATCTTTATTATATGAATGGACAAAAGTGTTTAAAAAAAAAATGCAAAGCCCTGGTTTATGTGAATGAGCATCCTCAATAATGCCCAACAGTTACCCAGGTTACCCGTATTTATCGTTAATGATTTTCCCCTTTTAAAAGCTTCTCTTTTAAGACAGCATCCATCCAGCTCTTTAAAAAACTTTTTCCAAGTGAAGCTCAAACACATCCGTCACTTGAAGGAAGCCACTGCTGTATCACCCAGCTATGACATCACTAACTATGGGACCCTTTCCTGAGTTCAGTCTGAGACCCCTCCGGAAGAGCAAGATCTTGAGGTACCACTTGGCCCTAAGTTCCCCACTGTACTGCCAGCTTATCTTTCAGCAGGTAAACTGAGACAGGGCTGCCATGAGAAAGTCTTCACCAACACAAGGTATTTATTTATCCCAGGGTGATGAATAAATAGGCAAACGCAGATCAGAGTGGCAAAGCAGCATTGCATGGGACTGTAGTGCGTCCCAGCAGAGAGAGATGGGGCAGGAGGTCTGCACTAGCCACTGGCTTTGGTCCTTCACTTCCCCCAGTAGCACTGTGAATGTCATAGAGAGATTGTGCATGGGATGCGTAAGGCTCCAACGGGAAGGTGCAGGGACTGAGCTGACCCTTCGCTGGGCACCCACTGATCATGCTCAGGGGCTGTGTTTGGGTTTGGTCTGCAGTGCTGGGGACTGAACCTAGGGCCTGGCGCCTGCTAAGCAAGTGCTCCACCACCGAGCTACCCTAACTCCAGAGATGTGTTCTAATCATCTTTCTGCGTCCCACCCCCAACAGGGAGTGTCTTGGTTACTTTTCTCTCATTGCTGGGACAAAATATCCAACACCGAAAAGGAAGAAAATAAAGGTTTATTCAGCTCACAGTTTGCAGGAGTGTCAGTCCATACTCAGCTAGCTCCAAGGCAGGATGGCATGGCTATGGGGCAACATTGCAGCTGTGGTAGATACCAGAGGCTACTAGAGCAAAAGGGCAAAACTCACCTCCTTCCCACCTTTATATTATATGCCGGTTCCTCCCCTAGGTGGGTGCAGCACTCATACAACCAAGCCCAGCATGAGACATCACAAAGGCTAGACTCAGCAGACTCCCTGACTGCATGAGGCTTTGGGAGCACATTCAAACACAAATCATAATATTCCACCCCTGACCCCCCAAAGACATGCACATCCTTTATACAAAAGACATTTAGTCCATCTCCAAGAGTTGCCAAATTCCTAACAGTTTCAGCACTGCTGAAAAGTTCAAGTCCCAAATTTCCTCTGAGATCTAAGGCAAACTCTTAGCTGTTAATGCCCTGTACAAATAAAAACAAAGTTAAACACTTCCAGCACACAATGGTACAAGATAAAAATTTTTGTTTCAAGTGGGTACAAACAGGAGGATACAAAGGAATAGGACCAAAGGAAGTCCAAAATCCAGCAGGGCAAACGTTAAGTCCTGGAGTTCCATGTTTAGCATCTGAAAAGGCTTGAGTGACTCCATCCCCACGGCACTTCTGGTGGTTGTAGCTCCCACTGCTTCTCTCTTGGGCTGGCTTTGCTCCTCCTTGTACGTTTCTTTAGAAAAGCCACACTACTGGCTTTTCCAAACTGCTGGGGTCTCCACTGCACCTTTGGCTTCACCCTCACAGCTTCACACACTGTCCTCTCAGGAGCACACTGCCTGGCCTCCTAGGCCTTCTGAAATCAGGGTGGAAACCCTTTTAACCTCAGATCTCTTGCATTTTGTGTGTGCCTAAAACCATTGCCATCTGGATGATGCCAAGGTCTGTCAGCTGAGCAGTAGCCAGGTTTTTCTCTCTTTTGGCTGTAGGGGTCAAGTGCCTGGATCACTGGGCACTCTGAACATGATCATGAGGAACAGATTCTCTATGCCACTGCCATTTTAGCACCTGGGGTGGCCACTGCCATTTTGGAACCTCATGTGGCCTCCACTGCCATTCTGGAACATCTTTCTACTCCCCTGGATGCCTCCAGGCCATCTTTTTTATTCTTCTAAACCTTCTCAGCAGTTGAGATCTCAGCTCTATCTTTACAGTCCACCATTTTACTGGAACTTCCTTTCTGTCCAAACTCACAATGTTTTAAATTATCCTGCTGGGTTCTCTGCTCTTGATTTGCAACACATATCTGGCTAAAAGTCCCCAAAAACAGCCATGTCACCACCTCAACATTTGACTGCCTTGAAATTTCTTCTGCCAGGTTAATTAGTTCATTGCTCTTAATCTCAGTCTCAGGAAATGTCTCTGGACATGAGCAAAATACAGACAAACTTTCTGCCAAGCCATAACACACATTGAGTGGAGTCGAACAACCACTGCAAATCTCCTGAGCATGGTTTTTACTGGTTTTCTGATCTTCTGAGCTCTGATCAGAATCTCCCATACAGAACATCCTAAGCTGTTCCAGCTCCATGCTTTCAAGTGACATCTCCAAACTTTCCAAACTCTCCCCACAAGTCATTCCCAAAGGCTCTTGAATCACATGGTCAGGTACAGTCATGGCAATAGCCCCACTCCTGGTACTAAGTTCAGTCATGGCAATGGCCCCACTCCTAGTACTAAATTCTGTGTTGGGTACTTTTCTCTAGTTGCTGAGACAAAATACCTAATATTCAAAATGAAGAAAGGAAAGGTTTATTTAGCTTAGTTTTTGGAGGTTTCATACCATACTCAGCTGACTCCAAAGCGGGGTGGCATAGCTAAGGGGCAGCTGTGCATGGTGGCTGCAAGTGACAAGACCAAAAAGGGCAAAAGGGGAAAGGCATGCCTCATTCCCTCCATTATATTGTATGCCAGCTACTCACCCCTGGGCTGGTACAGCACTCACACCACCAATCCTAGAACTAGACAACAAACCAATCACAAACACTAGACTCAGCTGCCTCCATGTCTGCATAAGGCTCTGGGGGGACTTTTAAACATACACCATAACAAAGAGTTTAGTAACTGTTGGATAACTTTGTCAGCCTTTGTGGGAGCACTCTTTACCAAACAGTATTTCCCCTAGCCAAGTTCACAAATCCTATCCAGAGAATAAGGAGGTTCTCTTACTGGGCCATGAAAGTCCTTTTAGGTTGTGTGTGTGTTGTGTACATGTGTGCATGTATGTGTGCACATATGCATGTAGAGGTCCTCTGAAGTAAGGAAGGGCAGTAGGGAACAGTTTCTGCTGCTCGCTGACAGTGAGGCCAGCTGCAGTTAGCAATGTAGCACTGTTTGATTTATTTCTGCCTTCTGTTCTGCTGCTCTGCCCATACTCTCTCTCTGGGGCTTTATGGGACTGTTGGAAGGCTTTATTTCTCCCAAAGTAATAAAAACACATGCTAGCAGAAGACTCAGAATCCTTCTTTTGTGTATGTGTGTGTAAGGATGGGTTTTTCTTTCCCCGCCAAAAAAGAAATATTTGCAAGATTGATAAAGTGAACAGAGCCAATTGCAATCAGGGGAGAAGAAACCAAAAGTCAGATTCTGACCAAGTTCAGAGCCTTCTTTCAGCAAAGATATTAAACAAACCTTTAGCAGATTCACTCTCAAGTGGTACCAAAAAAAAAAACAAAACTGAGTTGGGCTATTCTCTGTGCTGCCTATCTTCCAAAAAAGGCCAAGGGAAGTAATGCTGTGGTGGGGAGAGAGAGAAACAGAATAAAGAAGGGATCTGAAGGCCACACAAAAATTACAAAGTTTTTGAGGCAGAGGAAATGATGATCACAATGATTCACATCAACAGAGAGGCAGGTGGGACATCGGCCATGCCCTTTAGTTAGAAATTATGAATTTAAATCCCCAAGGAAAACCTCCAGAGTGCTGGAGAGGCCCTGGGACGCTGGAGGGAGGTGAGGGCTGGAGACATTGCCATACCCAGGACCGCAAAGAAAAACAAACTGTGCCCGACAGGACAGAGAGACAGGAAGTCCTCTCAGCTTGAGAACAGGCCCATAAGGCAGGTGCAACAGCTCACCCTTTCATGGAGTGCAAAAATAAAATTAACAAAAATCACCTGCGGTATCAATACCTTCTCCTCCTGCATAATTGGATTGGGCCTATTGCTTTTTCTTGGGGAATTTTAGGGATATGGAAAAACCACTTGGGAGAGTTCTTTGGGCATTAAACAAATAGTAAAAAGCTATTTCTAGCTTTTCATCTTCAAGGTTTTACATGAAACATTTTTCTTTCATTATAATCACTTTTCTATTATACTAATGTTTATTTTACTGCACTCTATTTATTCAGCCAATCTTGCCCCAAACGCTTTCCACATTACAATGGCCTCCATCTCATCTCCTTTTTGTATGTTTGCTCAGTGAAGATTAAATAGCAAAATCAAATGAGTCATTCCATATTACCTGAGTCAAACCCCAAAGCCAGGTTTATAAAAGAGATATAGAAAAGTCCCACTAGTCAAGGCCTTTAATATTCATGAACATTTTTGTTTATTGCAGAAAATGTATTCGGCTGACAGCCTGCTCCTGCCTTTTAATTTTCTGTGTGAATTAAGTTACTTTCCTCTGTGACAATGAAATGAGTTCCATCATGTGGGGGTGGAAAGGAGAGAAGAAATTATGGGGACTTTATGTTATAATTGAGCAAGAATGTGACTGAAAGAGAAATTTTCATAATTACATAAAAGGGGAAGACTTTAAGCCTTTAAGGGAAATGAAGGTTGTAAATGTGGGAAGAGGGTGGCTTTGCTAAGTGGGTCCTATTATTTTTGGAACTTTAGAAAAACACCTCTGCATCTTTCTAGCTCACACTCTGAAGCTGTGGCTAATGCCGGGAGGCAAGCACCTGGGGTCACCACAACCCGGGGTGAACAGGACTCCTGGTCTGGTGCGGCTTTGCCAGCAGCCAGAGGCAATGGCCAATTCCTGGCCTTTTGGGCTGTCCGCACTGTTAGCCAAAAGCCAGGCAAAGAAGGATCCTGGTTCCACACCACTGGCTGGACGTCTTGCTAAATCCTAAGTCTCCATCAAGGCTCAGCTGTCTTCCCACCAAAACAAGGACAATAACCCCTGTCCTCATCAATGGCCGCAGGGCGCCTGTCTTCATGGCCACCAGCTATAGACACTAACACTGGCGGCTGAAGCCACGGTTACCTGGGTCCCACATGCTGAGCCCCAACTCCAGCCAGCACCCCCAGCCTGCCTGATCCTAGAGGACACTGGAGAAGGAGAGAGAGACCCTGTGTCAGCTAGCAATGGCCTGCAGAAGGGACCTACAGGAGGGACTCCCACCTCCCAAAGCCACAAGGACCACTGTGATGGTGGGGTGGGTGGGGGCTCTCTGGGCAATGCGGCCCCACCCCACCAGAGAGGGTAGGCAGGTCCTCCTCAGGTTCTTCCTGACCAGCCAGGGTGTTGGGGATAGTGTGGGATGGCTGTCCACACCCTCACTGGTCCCTAACCTGGGGCTGGCTTGGAGGTGATATGGCTACCTACTACCAGAAGTATCAGGATTAATTCCAGAGCTAAGGAGATAATCAAGTGAAAGGCACAGGTGAAAGCTCATTAGATGGGGTCTTTTTGTAAAATGTTGATTATGGCCGCACATACCCATGATTACAGCTAAACAGGAAGTGGAGGCTATAATCCCAGCACTCAGGTGGTTGAGGCAGGAGGGTTGCCATGAGTTTGAGGCCAGCCTGGTCAGACTCAGAATAAAAACTATCAGAGGGCTTAGGATGGAGCCCAGTGGCAGCAGGGGGCTGGCCTAGCACATGGTTCAAGCCTCAAAGGCACGGGGAAGAGAAAAAAAGGTGACAATGGCAAGATGTCTGGCTTCTAACATCCCATTTTGAAAAGAAAAATAACCCTGGGCCGGGGATTTAGTTCAGCAACATAAGTATCTGCCCGGCAAACGTGAGGTCGTGAGTTTGATCCTCAGTTGGTGGAGGGGGCGGGGGTACACTGTTTCCTGGATGGACCTCAAAGCCTCCTTGTGCTGCAGGGAGTGGGACAGCGTATGCCTCAGAGCCCACCACACTCGCCAGGGTCTTGGTTTGGGACAAGGATGAGGCATGTTCCCGTCTGCTTCTGTCTTTTATTTATGGAACACTTCAGCGGGTGAAATGTCTGGCCACATTTCCTCACCTGATTTCAAAACAAGCCTGTGAGATAAACAACGCAGGGAGCCTGAGAACCCAGGGTGGCCTGGAGCACAGTGGGTCCTAGAGCCACCGCAGTGTCCTTGCCGGGCTTGGTCCCCCAGAGCGCTCTGCCCACCTGGCCCTTCCCAACCCAACCCCTGACTTGGGGCCTGCAGGGGGCTCCTCAGCATCACTTATGCAGCCACCCCTCGCCCCATTACTCAAATAGTCGTCTCCCTCCACTTCATTTTAAAAACTATGCTCCTGGTGAACAAGACATCACAAAGCCATGCGCCCAGCTCCAGACTGTTTGGAAGTCATGAGTTACAACCTAAACTGAAAGGGGAGACGAAGCATGTTTTACTTGTCTACCTAGAATGAAACTACTCCCCAGAGCCTATTTCCCAAGTACACCTCGGCATGTTATTCTGGTCACGGTGACATGGCAGCTTTTCACTTGCAATCAGATAAAAGTTAAGCTTTCAAAGTAAGATTACATAGCACAGAAATGTTCCCTGTCATCGCTTCAGCTTCTTCCTTATAGACGATGCCTCTCTCAGCTCCAGCCTCCCTCTTAACCCGCATCATCATGGAGGTGGTGGGAATGGAAAAGTCAGACCCTCTAGTGAGTATGCTGCTCTGATTCTGTTTACCACTTCGTATCACAAATTGCACCTCCCATTTGTCATTGTGACCAATATCAAGAAGTCGGGATGTGCGTGTGTGAGGCTGATTCCAGAGAAGGCAGAAACCATGGAAACCAGCTACAGCCGCATGCTCGGTGCCTCTCCTTCAGGCCAGGTACCGAGCTTGTGCTTCTGGGCCAGCAGCCAGGTGTCAGGACCGATTTCGCTGTCAGTGCAGGGGGACCCCAGCCTCAGGTCAAACCAGTGCAAAGGCTGGTACACCCGAGCCAGGGTGCTGAAGCAGAACAAGGCTACAGCCAGGGTCACGCCGAGGGAGGGGCAGATGCCACCCTGGAGGGTCATACCAGACCTGCTGGCTCCGTTTGCTGCCCCACCTGCAACACTCCACACTTGCTAGGCTGCTGTTTAGGTGAACTTCCTCCCAGTAAACCCTGCTGCTCCACAAGGCCTGGCGAGCTGCTGTCCACCACATGCTGGTCCCCACGAAGCAGGTGGACACCAGGGCTGGGGGAGAAAACCACAGCACAGTGCTGGCCGTGGTGGTGCATGCCTGTGATCCCAGCCCTTGGGAGGCTAAGGCAGAAGGATCACCACCATATCTAGGCCAGCCTGGTCTACATGGTGAGTTCAAGGCTAGTTTGAACCACACAAGGAGACTCTGTCTCAAAAGAAAAAAGAATCCTGAAGCACAAAGAGACTTAATAACTCGGTTTAGGGCCACATCCTTCCTAACTCACTCACACCCAGGCAGCAGGACCTGAGTCCCCCGGTACTTACATCAGTTTCCGAAATTTTGGAGACCTGTTCCTTTATCCGCTGATGCCACCATTTCTCCACAGCCTTTCTCGTCTGTACCGTGTACTCTTTCGTCCACTTGCCCGTGGCACTGTAAATGGTTCTGGTCCATCCTGGAATCACTTTCCGCTTCCACCCAAAGACATTGGAGCCACCATTCAGCTGCCTTGGCAGAAGTGAGGCACAGAGGCCCAGCCTGGGCCAGGCAGACCCCATGCTTCTTCCTGAAGGGCGCTGGAGAGGCTGGGGCCAGGGACCCTCAAGGACTTCTGGTCAGCACAGCCCAGCACTCCCTCCCAGGCACATGCTTTCTCCTCGGCTGCGATGAGGACGCCTCCCTGAAAAGAATACTTTATAAGTTCATGCAAACTCTTTAATGGAAAAAATAAAAGCAGCTCGTGTCCCCAAACACCAAAGATACAAAACCCCTGTGGGAAGAAAGCCCGAGGCCAGGCAGGGAGCTCCCAGGTGCAGGGGGTCAATGGAGGCCCTTCCTTCCCTTTAGGCCTCTGCGGCCCCTCCAGGGGCTTCCCATGAAGTTCCTCTGGTCCTCGGGAGAGCTCTCTGCACAGCCCAGCGCACCCGAGGCTTAGACATCAGAAGAGATCGGATCACAACAGGTCCAGAGTCCGCAGTGGCAGGAGTTTGAGGGTTCGGATCACGGTTACAAAGATCCAACAGACTAAGGCAGGAACGGTCACTATTCAGCCTGCTGCTTCTTTAGCTCTGCAATCATTCACCAAATCTGTATTGAGGGCACTATTAGGTCCATAGAGGGTCCCAAGCACAAGGGGAAGAGCAGTAGACAGAAACTCCATCTGCCTGGGGTGGAGCTCAGTGGTAGAGCCCTTGCCTAGCGTGCCTGAGGCCACGAGTTCAATCCCCAGTAATGGGGGAAGACAAAAAGAGAGAGAGACAGAAAAACAGAACAAGAGAGAGAGAGAGGAAAAAAAAGCAAGCCCTTTCTTTCATAGCAATTACATACTAGTAGGGAAGCAAGTCAGAAACAAGCCAGGTGGGTTGACACATGCCACTTAGGATGCTGAGGCAGGAGAATTGCAAGTTCAAAGCCAGCACAGGCAACTTAGTGAGACCATGTCTCAAAATAAAAAATAAAGAGCTGGAAATGTACCTCAATGGCAGAGCACCCTACATTCAATCCCCAGGGTCAACGAAATAAATAAGTAACAGTGATGAATGCTATATAATTTTTTGGAATACAACCCATACATCAGGGCATACCAAGATATCTACATGCAATTCAAGATTGAACTTAATGTTTCATTAGTTTCATCCACAGATGAATCCCAGAAATGACTTCACTGAAAAAAAGTCCATTTTTTACCACTATTGAAAGTGTTAAGATTTTATCAAATATTTAAGATAAATGACTAAATTCTCTAAATCTCCTGCCTTATAAAATAGCACAGAAGAGCTCTATAGTGGAAAAAAAAACAGATGAAAAAAGATCTTTCAAAAACAAAATAGATGCTGGGTGTGGTGGCACAAGTTTATAATCCCAGCACTAGGGGGGGGGGGGTCCTTCATGTTGAAGGTCAGCCTGGGTTACGAATAAGACCCTGTCTGAAAAAAAAAAAAGACAGAAAAAAAATAAACTTGACATTTTAAACCACTGACAATTCTGATTCTGACACTCAAATGTTCTCCATTTATCTGCTAGGGCTCAGCCTGTTTTACAAAGATACCTAATCTCCACTGTTGCCCAGGAAGGTCATTATAGGCCTATAAAGATGGAATTCATATTCACATGAGATATCACCAGTGTCGGCATTTACCAGTGAATCTGCCAAAGTTGGGTTTTTTGGGTTTTGTTTTGTTTTTTTGAGATAGGGTCTCGCTGTGTAATTCAGACTGGCTTCAAACTCATGTCGATCCTCCTGCCTCAGCCTCCCTAGTACTGGGATAACAGATCTATGCTCTTAATCCATCTGGATTAAGAGTCAGATGGGAAAACATCTCAACATCTGTTGGGCTTGGCTATTTTAAAATTTGTGGATGTGACCTACAGGTATTATGGTGAACTATAAAAACTCATTAAATATTAGCAGTTCTGTAAGACCAATCAAATACATAGGCACTTCGTACAACGAAGGCAATTCCATTCATTTTTAGGACTTAGGTTTCCATATATTTAGAACTATCTTTAGGAGTCAGAAATTTTTTGGTTCTCTTGCTAAGTCAGCATTTTTACACCTTGGCAAGCCTAACGATGTCCAAGAGAAGGCATAGGGGTAGATCTCTGTCATTCCTTTCTTAGAAAGCATTCCCTTAAGACCATAAGGAGAGGGCTCTGGGGTACACTGTGAAACAGAAACAAATAACAGGAAACAAAATTTATAAGACTATCAACTGACCCAAACTACAATCTGCCAAGTTTTGGGTTACAATACTGGTTAGCCTGTGGGAGGGTGAAACACCAAAGACCAGACAGAGAAATCTGGGCAACGTGAAGACAGTCATTCTTTCACTTAAAACCTGGGATTAATCCTGTCTCTAAAACTTACTCTACATATCGCACAATGACACCCGTCTGTACCATCAGAGTAAGTTTTACATAATACCTGGTGCCCTAAGAATCTCCCCTTTGCATAAGCTAACGGACTGATAATTCTGGAACGCCTCTGAGTATATAAAATAATTTAACACCACGAGTGTTGGTACATGCCTGTAATGCTAGCACTTGGGAGGCTGAGGCAGGAGGATCACCAGGAGTCTGAAGCCAGGCTAGGCTATAATTTTAGTATATGTGCTTTTGAAGCAAGCATTAGCCTGGGCTATCTAGTGAGTTCAAGGTCAGCCTGAAATTACAGAGCAAGACCCTGTCTTAAAGAGAAAAAAAAAACAAACATAAAGTTCATAATGACCAAAGAACAAGCAGGTTAGAAAGTGATTGATTATTCAATGAATAGGGAAAATTTTCAGAGTATACCCTTATCTCACATCATAAACTATGGCTAATTTCAGAAAATTACAAAATGGTTTTTAAAGCATCATAAGATGAAAACAGAGAAGTATGTGCCAACTTGACAAGGTACAAGATGTTCTATTCCGAAGATAAACCAATGGGGGGCTAGGGATTTAGCTCAGCAGCATAAGCGCCTGCCTTGCAAGCAGGCAGTTGTGAATTCAATCCTTGGTACCGATAAAAAGGAAAAAGACAAAAAAAAAAAAAAAACAATGGGAAGATTCAAGAGGAAAATATCGATAAACCTGAGCCTCAAAAATAAAATATCTGTATGTCAAAAACATCATGGATGGGGCTGGAGATTTAGCTCAGCGGCATAAGCACCTGCCTTGCAAGCAGGCAGTCGTGAGTTCAATCCCTAGTACCGATAAAAAGGAAAAAGACAAAAAAAAAAAAAAAAAAAAAACCAAACCCAAAACGTCATGGACAAGATAAGCAAATAATAAGATGAAATGTTTGTCAGAACTATTACAACAAAAGGTTGTTCAACTCCATAAAGAGACATACAAAAAGAGAAATACCAAAAACCTAAAGTTAAACATGAGCAAAGGTGTGGCTGGGGGCGTAGCTCAATGATAGAGATTCCTTGGCAGAGCAAGGAGCTGGATTCAATCCCCAGCACCACAAAAGGGGGCAGGGAGCAAAGGAAAATAGGACAGAAGAGATACAAAGGGTTAATATGTGGGAAAGATCAACTTTAAAACTAATCAGAGGAACACCAATTAAAACAGCATGGCAAAAAGTTGTTTTTATAGACTGCTTTTTATAGACTGCTAAGGGAAAGTTAATTGATATCCCCTCTCTCAGGAGCAGTCTGGTAATATCTGTTAAGATCTTTTAAGAAAAGACCAAGAACTAGGGTGATATCTCAGTGGTGGAGCATGGGTTCAACACACAGCACCAAAAACAAAACAAAAGAAAGAAGCAAAGAATATATTCTAAGTCTCAGTGGAGATGCAGTTCAGAGGTAGAGAGAATGCTGCCTAACATAGTCTAGGCCCTGGATTCCATCCCTAGCACTGCAATCAATCAATCAATCAATTACTAAATAACTTCAGGTGTTAATAGGCCACGAAGTCTCCTCTGGGACCAGCAGTTTGTACCCAAGGCTGAGATTTTTACAGAACTTCCTGGCTTTCAGCACTATTCCCTATCTTTACTTCCCAGGCCCCACTCTAGAGCCCTCCAAGTACACCACCTTCAAAGCTCTAATGAGCACTCCCTCTTCCTGAGGTCAAGGCACAGCCATTGTATTTGAGTACTGTGTAATAAAAGAAATGTGAATGTGGGGCTCCTGTCAGATTTATGATAGACTTGGCCTTTTAATGCCTTAGCTCGGCCTCACCCAGTTCCTTAACTTGCTTGCAACCTAGTATCTTCAGTTTTCCACCGGGTAGAACCCCAGCACCTCACCCCACTTCAGTCAGCCCTGACCTCGACCATACTTGGGTTCTTTGGTTAAGATTTTTGGGAATAAAGAGGACATAAGAACTGCGCCCAAAATGATGATCATGTACAGAGAAACTTAGCAGAGTAAAAGACAAAGAAACAGAACCCAAGAGACAAGCACATGTAGGCACTTGTGTGCACCCAAGATAAAAAGCAAGAATGTACCTGGGGAAATCTGTCTTAAAGAAATCATGTTTTTAAAATACGTATTTTGTGTTTTGCAGTTACTAATTCACTGTGTGACCTCAGGCAGCTTATTTCCTGTTTAGAAATTCATCTCTCTGTGCCAGATAAGGCAGTAGGACCCAGATGGTTTCCAGGGACCTTCAGGCCATAACGTGCTGTGGCAATGACCTGGGGCCCCAAAGACGCCAGGGATGACCCCGGACGGGGCCCAAACCCCGAGTCTGGGGAGCAGCCAGGCACGGAAGCGGCAAAGAGCGCGAAAGCAAGGAGAAAATCGCCTGAGGACAGACAAGTTTCTGGGAAAGGGTTCAGAGCTAGCGAAAGGGTCTGAGGCTTAGGGATCCTGAAGACAGGTTCTGAGAGACTTCCAGATCTGCAAGCGCACACTTCCAGGACCCTCTCTCCCTGACCGCACCTTCCTTGTTGCCCGCAGCAAATCGGGTCCTCCTGGCCAGGGGAGGGATCAGTGTAGCCTCTTCTCTCGACCAGCTAAGCTCCGGCAGGGATTTACCTGCTCACAGGCTCTGGCCTGCAGCTCCTCTACGTCTCGTTCCCCAAACCTTTACGTGTACACTGCCCGGCCTGGCTTCATGGGCGCCGCCATGTTGGCAGAACAACAACTTTATTGAGAGCGGCGCCGCAGACACGGACAGCCGGGGGCGGCGCGGGAAGGGCGGGGCGACTGAGCGCTGGCTCTGACCTGTGCAGCAGCTCGAATCTGCGCTTCAGCTGGGGCTTTTGCACGCGTTTTCCTTTAATGTGGTACCTGCAAAATATCTCGGGGTTATTACAACTGCAGCAGGTACCTGAGTGCTGTTAGTCTGGAGGCCTCGGGTTACAATCCCAGAACAACAACCGCCCTCTGGGTTTGGGCGAGTCCCTTGACCTTTAGCTCTCTAGGATACCAAGTGTTGGGATCTTACCCACGGTCTGTGATCTCGAGCCTTGGAAGGGAATTACCTGGCCAGCATCAAGGTACTGTACAGGCAAAGTGCTTTTCTTACCCAAGCAGCAGGCAGGCAGTTGGGAAAGCAAGATGCATCTTCCCCCAACACACACAACGACTTTGCTAGACTATGTCCCTATCTGGCAAGTCATTCCTGCTTGTAATGATCATTGAATGGCAAACCAGCAATGTCAAAGTTAACTTTTTAAAAAGGTAAGTAAATCCTGCTTAAAGGAGAATTCGAAGGAACATGTATCACGATTGAAGAGCAATCAGGAATACTGCAATGAATGTACTAAATGGTTGATAACCCCATAGGACAAGAAAGAACAGTGTTTGGGAATCGCTTTTTTCTACAGGTCTGAAGTCAGTGGTACCTCTATCAGGCATGTTTGTCTCGTTGCTATTAGACTGGTGCTTCTCTTCTTATAGAGATGCACAGTGGTCAGTGACACGGTGTCCGCCCCCACAGAATCAAAACCTGTGCCCACCCACCAGATACACAGGAATCTCTTTTGGCAGGTTTCCTAGTCTTTAACAAGCTTTTCCTAAGTCCAAGGAGCTCCTTACTCAAAATGTGGAACTCACCTGGGAAACGAGAGTATCAAGGTCTACCCCAGACTTGCTGGATCAACCTGCATTTTAACAAGAGCTACAAAGAATTCTAGGCACTTGGAAGTTTGAGATGTACTGCCCTAGAATGTGACAGTTAGAAAAGACCTTGAAGAACGCTCTCGCCCAGCCTGCTCATTTTACAGAGTAGAAACTGAGGCCTGACAGAGCTGTCTTGTCAAGGTTATGTGCAAGTTAGTGAAAGGTCAGGGATTCAAAACTGAGTCTCCAGCCTGGCAAAATGCTGCTCTTTCTAAGTTGCACAGTGGATGATCAAAAGGAATAGAACTTCCGGTCCAGTCTTCTTCCTTCAAGGATGAGAGCTCTGAGGCCACAGATGGGGTACAGCTGCCTAAGGTCATGCATCTAGTTGATGACACAGCCAGGATTCCAACCCCAGTCTCTACCCCCAACAGAGACTGTTGAATTTAAGCTGGTCCCATGGGCATATTAATCTGCTACCTCTAAGGCAGGCACACACGTACAATTCGGTGATGAACCCTGGTCACGGTAATTGTATATCCCTTCCTCTAGTTTAGCCCTGGTATCTCTATCCTTATTTTGGCTCTAAAGCTCTCTTTCCTGTTATGAATTAGAGTTAACATTGACATTTCTGGAAGATTATTTCAAGTGGAAGTTTTCTAAAAGTCATTTGCTTTACTGAAAAGTTGCTATTTTTACATCAAAGAAGACAGAAGCATAAAAGTAAACCCTTTCACTCTTAAAGAGTTTTCTGTGAAGATACATTGTTAAATGAAAAAGACAAGTTTCTGCTCTGTGTAGGATGTTGTACCATTTTTTATTTTTTTGAAAAGGTAAGGAAATAAAAGAAATACATTTGCTAGCATGTGCATGGAAAGAAAGCCAGAAAATAATATAGCCCAAATTATTTCCTGTGATGATCTCTAGGGACAATGAGATTGCACAAGTCTTTCTCCTCATGATGTTTCTGTATGCCTTTTACTCTTTTCTGTTGGCTTGTGTGGGGCTGAATAACCCCCAAAGTTACCCAGGTCCTAATTCCTGGAACCTGTGAATGTCATCTTCTTTGGCAAAGAAATTTGCCACATGGGATGATATTAAGGATCCTAGGGTGGGGAGATTATACCGCAAGGCATAATTGTAACCACAAGTTGTAGTATTTCTCTCTTGGTCAGTCTGTCTGTCTGCCTGCCTCCCCCCACCCTCCGCCCTTTCCTTGATCCTTCCCTCCCTTCTTTCTTCCTTCCTAAGATTGAACTCAGGGCCTCATGGGCCAACATTCTACCACTGACCTAGGCTCCTCATGTGCCCTTATGAGAGGGAGTCACAGGGAAATTTGAGACACGAAGAGAAGCAACATGACCATCAAAACAAGATGTTATGATCCTGGCTTAGCAGATGATGCAGAAGACCGCAAACTAAGGAAGACAAGGAGTACAGCTCTAAACTCTGACAAAGACAGACAGGCAGATTCTCCCCTATAATCCAGCACCCCTGCTTTGAGTGAGATTCAAAAGAATAGAAAGCAGGGCCTCAGAGAGCTCGTCGTAGGCCCACAACCATGTCAGTACTATTCACAGCAGCCCGAGGTACAAGCAACTCAAGTGTCTATCAACAGAGGAATGGGTGGAAAAATGTGACAATACATACAGCAAACTATTATTTAGCCTTGAAAACAAAGGAAATTCTGATATATTCATCAACACAGATGAATCTGATGCTAAGGAAAATAAGCCAGACCTTGAAAGACAAATACCATATGATTCCTCTTACATAAGTAACTTAAAGCAGTCAAATTTGTAGAGAGGGAAAGTCGACTAGGAGTTGCCAGAGGGCGGAGGTACAGGGAGATATTTTTTAATGAGTACAGGATTGCACTTGGGAAAAATGAAGCTCATAGAAATGCTGCTGATGTTTGCCCCATCTTGGAAATGGGCTCGATGCCTCTGAACTGCACACTTAGAAATGGTTAAAGTGGTAGATTAAAGGTATGTGTCTTTTACTATAATCCAAAAAAGAAAGAAAAAACAAGCAGAGGAGGAAAAGAGGCCTCCCCACGGCCTCCACAGAGTGAGCCCTTGTTAAAGTACAATTACAGTGAGCCAGCAGGTCCACAGACCACCCTAAAGGTCACCACCGTGGAGTGGCTCACACTAGAGCTCCACATTGTCAGGCTGAAACTAAGCTGTGTGCCTGGCCTCCTGAGAAATCAGGATCAGAGTGAGAACAGGAAAATTCCCCAAGCCGGCCCTGTAGATGAGAATGACAAAGCTCCCTCTGCTTAATCCTTGCACAAAAGGAGTAACCTGAAAGAGCCGGACGTTCTCTCCCTGCTGTTTTCCAGCTTAGAAGAAAACTCATGTTGATGTGGACAATCTGCCTTTTGTTCTTTGGTGTCTCCTCTCTTCAGCTTAAGTCTGTACACCCAACCTCTGCTGCTCAGAACAATAGGACATTTATTCTATTTTATAGAATGAAGAGTTGCCAGACTCTAGAATTGAAAATAAAGCAAATTAAAATTGTTCAACTGGGGCTGGGAATTTAGCTCAGCAGCATAAGCACCTGCCTTGCAAGTGTGCAGTTGTGAGTTTGATCCCCGGTACCAAATAAATAAATAAAATTGTTCAACTAAATCATTGTGATTTTTTACTTTTCAAGGGTGCTGTATGTTGATGACATCAGTGGTTTATAGATCCTCAGCATTTTCTTTTTTTGTCTTTTTCCTTTTTATCGGTACCGGGAATCAAACTCACGACTGCCTGCTTTCAAGGCAGGTGCTCATGTCGCTGAGCTATATCCCCAGCCCCAATCCTCAGCATTTTCCTTTCATGCTCTACCTTCTCTTTAAAAAGCCTAGGGGCTAGGGATTTAGCTCATCGGTATAAGCGCCTGCATGGTGAGTGTGAGACCATGAGTTTGATCCACGGTACAAAAAAAAAAGCCTAGCTCTCATTATCTGTGCTTTCTGCCCAGGATTTAAATTGAAGAGCAGCTAAGGGCCAGACAATGTGTGTAGCCACTTTCCCATTGTTAGGACAAAATAGCTGACACCCACGATTAAAGGAGGAGAGGTTTAGAGATTCAGTCTGTGGTGGGTTGGTTCCAAAGCAGAAAGGACATGATAGAAGGGTAGAGGAGAGGGGAACTGCCCAACACATGGCAACCATAAAGCAGAGAGAGAAGAGGGAGCCAAGGACCGGAATACATCCATTCAACCCCACATACCCCACATTCAGCTATAAAATTCATCTAGGGTCTAATCCACCAGGAACATAATGACCTCATGAACCAATGGCCTTCCAAAAGCCACACCTTTGAACACAGAAGACTTTGGGAGGGATGTTTTAGATCTGAACTGTAACATTCCATTCCTAGCCCCCAAAAGACTCCTATAATTTCATTGTGCAAAGTGCATTCAGTCTATCTGTAAGAGTTGCCGAAGTTTTAACAGCTCCAGCATTGCTGAAAAGTCTGAGTCCAAAGTCTCCTCTGAGATTCAAGGCAAATTCTTAGTTGGGAGCCCCCATAAAAATCAAAAAGGAAGTTAAACAATTGCAACATACAATGGCACAGGGTAAACATTGCCATTCCAAAAGAAAGAACTAAGGGGATAGAAAAGAATTTGATCAAAGCAAGACTGAAAACCTATAGAGCAACATTAAATCCTGTAGCTCAACATGCAGCACCCAGGGCTGGTTGTGATGAGACGTGCGCTCCAAAGTGTTAGGCTGGCAGGACCACTCCTATATTGCTTTGCAGGTTACAGCCCACCCACATTGCCTTTCCCTTGGGCTGGCTCTGCTCACTGCTTGCAGCTTTTCTCAGCAGATGTGCTACATTCCTGACATCTCCAACTTCCTGGAGTCTCTGCTGCATCTTTGGTTTCACTGTCACTACTTCAAGCATCAGTCTCTCAAGGACTCGTCTCAGAAACTGTCACACACTTTTGCCTGGCCTCCCAGACCTTCTTCTGAAATTTAGGTGGAAGCCTCTATGGTCCCTAACTCTTACATTCTGTTTACCTGGAAAACTAGCATGTTTGATACCAAGGCCTGTACCAGCTCCAGCAGTAGCTGGGCC